CCTGCAGTGAACTTGAAATTAAGTTCATCTGTACCAAAACTCCATAGAAATTTAAATAAAAATAGGCAATTTGTTTTTCTAATGAAATTTTAATATAATTTTGTATTTTCGTCGGCGTTCGAATAGATATATGGAAATATATATATGTACATTTTTAGACAGAATCAAACATCGTAATTTATTCTAGTCTATTTGGGACGATATTGAACTTTACATCCTAGTGGTGAATCTACTATAGTCCGCTGATACTATTGATGTGACACATTACCGTGGTAGGAACACATACAATAGGCTGGGGGGAAATAACACAACAAAGTATTAAATAACACTGTGTCTGCCAATAAACCCACTCACTCTTTAATGGGTTGAGGCGTTTGTGACCCGACTACATTTCTGTTGAATCTAAACAGTCGCCATGAAATAGAGTGCAAATTGACGAATCGTAATATGTACTTACCATTGGTCGACTCATTGCTTTGGTCACGTGATTCAAGCAACCAATCATAAGCAGTATTACCACAAACTTGTGAGCCATTTTCATGTCGACGAACAATTACAATATATCTACGCGATGAACAGAGAAGGTTCGAAGTCAGAAATAATGCAAGGCGAGACTGTTTGTGCTCTGTTCAGCATTATATAGCTAACAGACACCCTCGCGGAAACGGATCGTAGCTAATTCAGTTAAAATGATAGGAACCGTAAGCTGAAATCGCTTATCGCAAGCCGGTCGGCTGAAGTGAGTTCAACCATCATGAATGGAACAACATGGCATGTATTTTTTTGCGGTGCATCGGGAAACGTGACCATTGAAACAATTGAAAAGATATGATTTATTACACCGTGAAATTGGATTACCTGTACCTGAATTTAGGGTAAGAGTTTCATATCGCTAACTTTCAATATATATAAGGGACGACGTCAAAAGATCGATGTCGGATAAAAAACTTATTTCCTTTAGTTTGGGGGTGGGGGGTTTTGACCTCAAAAAGTTTCCATCCGACAAAAACGATTTTATTTTTTAATGAAGTCAAAAAAATCTTGGAGTATTTGTAGTTCGTTTTTTTTTCTATCCAATCATGGACAGAAATAACCGAAAAGGGAAAAAAAAACAGAAAAATGGTTTGGTTCGAGTGTAAATCTGTGCGTCAAGTGAGGTGCATTTGTAAACTCTTTTTACACCCTCCCGACAACCAACTGCTATGCCATACTACTGTCCTATTATCAATTTGTATTTAATGGTGAATGTAGTCTGACGCCATGACCAATATTTATCAATTAAGTTTCAGTGAGGGTAGGGGGTTTGGAAAAAACTAAAGGAATTAAGTTTTTTATCCGACATCGATCTTTTGACGTCGTCCCTAAAGTTGTATAGAATGTGATGAATAAAGAAATAACAGCGAGAGTCTTTCGATTAAAGCCGGCAACGGAGTTGCACTCGATTCGGCGGAGAGTTAAAGTGAGCTTGGACACATTCTGTCACGTGTAATCACTAAAAAAATTAGTTTGAGCAACCAACACGGTTGGCGAATCAAGCGATCCCCGTTACATGTAGGCTTGTTCTAATAAACGCACCATAAGAACACCCCCGTTGCATCAAATACATTACAGCGATACTCACCTTAGCAAATGAGCTTACTTCTGAATCAGTGCATGTGCCGGTATCTCTACTTCTCCTGCCACCGCTGATTCCCGGTCTTATATAGCCTGGTCAAACCGAAAGACCGGATACGTCAAGGAGTAGCATACGGAAGAATCAATCAATCAAATTAGCAAATCTAACCAAAGATTTTGTTTCACGGGGAAGTTAGCTGAGGACCAGTATCACACCAAAAAAGGGATTATCACTGCTACGTTTACTATGACCTCATAAGGGCGAGAGAATCGGTCAGACGTCATGTCCATGTGTACACATTAGATAGTCGCAGTAATACAAGGTGGACATTAGATAGTCGTGGGTGATATCGAATATACAGTACATAAACATCAGAAGTGATATGTCAATATATATATATATATATATATATATATATATATATATATATATATATATATATATATATATATATATATATGTGTGTGTGTGTGTGTGTGTGTGTGTGTGTCAACCAAGTCTCAGACTGCTATAGAAACCTGAGACCAAGTTAAATGATGTGTCCGCTGCATCAATGGACGAGAGATCTAGGCATAGTTAATTCCTCCCTGGGCAGTCAATTCAAGTTAATCAATAACTTTTTAATAATACAACATCGCTTCATCCTGCGTGGGTTTAATAATACAACATCGCTTCATCCTGCGTGGGTTTAAAACTCCATTTTTCCAATGATTGTGTACACAACTATATCAACAGGTCTGCATGTTCTCTGCCAGGCCCTGAACTTGAAAACAAAACGTCTTATCAATGCCATGACAACGCAAGTAGACAATGGCGTATCTCAAATTGTACACCAACGACCGACTCGCACAAGTTTCAATTGCGAATGTTAAAAACAGAGCCGGTTAATATCAGCGTAGAGCATTAATTTCATTTGTTAGCGAGTATACAGTGTGTTATAGATTATATCACGCCTGTTCATCACTATCTCGACATCGACGGAAAGTTTTTACCCAAAGCTGATTTGTATTATATAAATGAATTTAACAATTTGTATTTCAAACAAGCTGAGTGCAAGAAAAGCAGTTGCTTCATATTCACTTGTATACTTATATTGCCAACTTTATACGCAATTCTGTCTGATGTGGACTCAATATTATGGCAGGCTGTTCTACTTAATAACTAATTGTTCTGATACAGGAGTCTGTATGTTGATTGAATATGATGCCCTCATTTAATAAAATGTGAAATACTGTTACGTTCTTTAAATATACGTAAAGTTCAGACTCGATTTCCAGCCCCTCCCCCTTCGCGTGTGTTGTACCGTTCCAGTTTGTTATACTGTTCACAACGATATTTGTTGTGGGCGCCCGAGGCTGAGTCGCAGTTGCGTGGCGGTACGAGACTGGAGCCGAGTCTACGCATGGTTATACGGAGCACTCAGCATCACACTGAAATCTCTCAGTTACAATCGGAGGGTGTGGGGTGAATGCGTTACAGAACTAATCGTCCAGAGCATGAAACCAATACAAACATTTGGGTGGCTACAGGATGTCTACTGCCCGCTCACGAATTCTGTCCGTGCTTCACGGAAAAAATGGTTTCCACTTATTACTTCGAATTCGGTTCCATCGAGACACAAAAGCTTTAATCCCTTATTTGCCAAACGTATTATCGTGGTTAGTCAGATACGAAACCTATAAATCGACCCAATCGGCTCGAGTAGACTCGGAAAACAGACCCCCCAGCGACGACATTTCATAATTATCTCAATGTTTCGTGTTATGAACTCTTTTTTATTTAATTGAAACTTTTATTGTAATCTTTTGAAAAGATACTACAATATACTTTGTAATACAAATTTGAAATCTCGGGCATCAATGTTAACGTTTAATACGTATTGAACGGTTCAAAGTGTGTGGTCAGATGATTTACGAGAGAATTCACGATGATGTTACATACATGCATATCAATCACCAGGTGTTAACTTGAATTTTATTCAATGTACAGACATGTGCATGAAACATCTGTGCATTATATTCTAGGGAAAAGAAAGAAATACGAGGAGATTTAAAGAAATAATACATGCGCGCGTTATAGAAAAACAAGTCCAGATTATATGAAACTAATACATACATCGTGAGAGCTACAGGATGCACATTGCCTTCTCACGTATTTTGATCATGCTTCACAGAAAAACGGTTTCCACTCATTTCCCTCGAATTCATTTCCAATATCTACACAAAAGAATTCTAATTAGAGCAATGTATCGGATTCTTTGAATGTAAACAACACTGGATTCAGATTACACTACATATCCGCAACATATTTTAGTTCACCTTTGAGTCACTATTTTACAAAATATCATAGCAATACAAACCAGTAGTAGTCTAAGTTTTGGGAGTAATTGAGGAAAACTGGTTTATTAAACATTACACAGCACCAGCCATGATGCAAGCTTACAATAACCATTGCGGTTCAAGATTGTGTTTTGTAAATTTCAGAATGTAGCTGCCACTTTAAACAGGTAAATTTTAGACAGCTAAATATCTGTCGAATATATTTTCTGGCATGGAATTGCAATCGAGTCACTAAACCCACGTAACAATGTGAGACTTAAAAACAAATACACCTAACAAAAGAAAGCGGGTGCGGGAGACATATCACAGAGCAGTCAGGCTCTAGGTAGGTCACTGGAGACACGCAATGCCAAGATGGTATGTTTTTCTCACACAAATAGGCCTACATGTGCAAATAACAATGTTGTAAGGAAAGTGGCTACATCATACACGGAAGAACATACAGCCACGTGACGACAAACAACAAACAATAACCAAAGTCTAAACCAGCCCACACATTGCAATAGATAAAAATTACCTTAAAGTAGCGACAAGTGGAAAACTTTTTTTTTCTAATAGTTTGTTATGAACACGTTTTTAAGACAATGTCCACCAGAACAAACAATCCAAGTCATTTACTGTCAAGGAAGCTAGCAAGACACATGGAGTTCAATACTAAAACAACCCTAACAATAACTTACTTGACCAACCAACACCGTTCTGTACACATGCAATAGTGCAGGTAAGTTACAGATATTGAAAAGCTCAAAGAATTTCGTCGATATTCTACTCAAATGTTTTCGCCTTACGTGAACTCCGAGAAAGCTGACTATCGGAGCTGCATGAAATCAGATTAAATCAGAAATTTAAGAAAAAAGTGACAAGCCTGGAGCTATTCTTTGTAAAACTCCCGACTTATGAGTGTCGCCCTCAACGGTGGCACTGTCAAGTGATGTCACCAGTGCCAAAGTGAATATATGTTCAATTGTATTGGCTCTTAACCCTACAACCACCAACTCCAGCGTATGATTAATGAACAAATACCCTCGGGCGCGGACATCCGGGCATTTTCACCGCCTGGCAACCGGCCTGGCAACCCGTTGAGACTCCTCTGAACAGTATAACAAGATTAGCCCTAGGTGTGTAACATATATAAATTTGGTTGTTCGGGATTACTTCAAAGTTGAGTTGGTGTTGTTTTCTCGAATTTTCACCGGCTCGACCGGCGTTCCACAGCAGTGCGCACAGAGCCCATAGAAATGCATGTACAGTGGTGCGCGTCGTAGTAACGTAGAACGTATGTGACGTAGCTCCGCCCCCGAGGATATGATAATATTCGCCGTTCCACGTCTTGTTCGTGTCATATGCGACGTATACTACGAGTCACAGTGTAAACTTATACATGCACGACGACCACGGCTGATCTTTATCGTCCTAACCAAACTTTGAGACAAAAAAACTTGTTCACCTTTATAGACGCTGATATAAAATACCTACACCCGAGTCCGGCGTTGGATGTAGTTAGATTTATCTTATGTTGGCATCATTTGGTCACATGATCAAATAAATGGGCTAATTATTCTCTTACAAAATAGTGACACTAATTAAGATATGAACTGGGTTTCGCTGCCAAGCTCTAATTTAAAATAATAACTTTAAAAATGCTCCCATATTGTTGAGTCGGAATAGTTGAATCAGCAACCAAAGAAGGCACACGTCGAACTGCAGCTGAAAGAGTTATTCGTTTATGTGAACATCTTTACATAAATTTATGAATTTTGTTACCAACATACCTCTTTACCATGTGCATAACAACAAACATGACAGTGTGTTATGTGATTACAAACATGACAGTGTATTGTGTGTTTACAAACATGACAGTGTATCATGTGTTTACAAACATGACAGTATATTATGTGTTTACAAACATGACAGTGTATTATGTGTTTAAACAGACAGTGTATTATGTGTTTACAAACATGACAGTGTACTATGTGTTTGCAAACATGACAGTGTACTATGTGTTTAAAAAAGACCGTGTATTATGTCTCTACAAACATGACACTGTATTGTGTGTTTACAAACACAACACCGTATTGTGCTCGTGTTTACCAACATGGCAGTGTAATATGTGTTTACTAACACGAAACTGTATTATGTGTTCACAAACATGACAATGCACTATGTGTTTACAAACATGACAGTGTATTGTGTTTACCAACACGACAGTGTATTATGTGTTTACATATATGACAGGGCATTATGTGTTTACAAACATGACAGTGTACTATGTGTTTAAACAGACAGTGTATTATGAATTTACATACATGACAGTGTACTATGTGTTTGCAAATATGACACTGTATTATGTGTTCACAAACATAACACCGTATTGTGCACGTGTTTACCAACATGACAGTGTAATATGTGTTTACTAACACGAAACTGTATTAGGTGTTCACAAACATGACAATGCACTATGTTTTTACAAACATGACAGTGTATTGTGTTTACCAACACGACAGTGTATTATGTGTTTACATATATGACAGGGCATTATGTGTTTACAAACATGACAGTGTACTATGTGTTTGCAAACATGACAGTGCATTATGTCTCTACAAACATGACAGTGTATTATGTGTTTAAACAGACAGTGTATTATGAATTTACAAACATGACAGTGTACTATGTGTTTGCAAACATGACACTGTATTATGTGTTCACAAACATGACAGTGTACTATGTGTTTGCAAACATGACAGTGTATTATGTGTTTAAAAAAGACAGTGTATTATGTGTTTACAAACATGACAGTGTACTGTGTGTTTACAAACATGACAGTGTATTATGTGTTTACCAACACGACACTGTATTATGTGTTTACAAACATGACAATGTACTATGTGTTTACAAACACGACAGTGTATTATGTGTTTACAAACATGACACCGTATTGTGCACGTGTTTACCAACGTGACAGTGTATTATGTGTTTACCAACACGACACTGTATCATGTGTTTACAAACATGACAATGTACTAAAGGAAGGTGTAGAAAGTAATATTTATTAAAACAAACAAAGCTGAAGAGTAATATAAAGAATAATAATATTTCAATAACTCATCAATAGGAACAAATGTATAGGCCCAAATGAAACCAACGTCATTATAGCTTAAAAACACAAACTATACACACAATATGATGTACATGGTAGAAATGGATATTTAATAAAGTTTTGTTGAAAAATGTCAGACAACAGAGACGTCATCACAGATTGGCAGACGGAGTTGTTGATAAACTATTGAAGCGTGTTTTTTACGCATTTAGCTGGTCACGTGACAGTATTGAGTAATGTATCACCATATTGCAGATTCATTGAACGAGTTAGACACGAGTTAGGACATTGTACTAAACAGAAATAACATGCCGGCGGCAGACACGTCGGGGCATGACAACCAAACCACGTATTGGTTTAATAAACGATTTAATATTTCAAATTGTGATATTCAAAACGATATTAGAAGTAATTATAGTATTTGTTCACAAGGTTACTTGGTCGTAATTATGGTTTATTATATTGTATAGACAATGAACTGTGTATTGTTATATTTGTGTTAATTTGAATTATTATAAAATAAAAATAAAAATTACTGTAGATTAACTTTCTACTTGGTTAAGGTTTCAGGAGTGGAATGATGTTTTGTTTTGTCTATGTGGGTTACATTGCGTTGTGCTGTTACAGAATATGTTTTTGATTTGATTACTTTCCGCTTGATAACCTGTGTCGGTAATTTTTCTAGTTAAACGTTAAATCAGAAAATTCATTGAATCAAAGAGTAAACAATAGTTATTATTTTTATATTATAACGACAAAAATATGTTTTTTGTTTTTTTAATTTGGTCGTTGAAGAATACTTGGGAATGGAGTGTAAATTCAAACTGTGTTCCATTATTTAAACATTAACATACAAGAAAACTACGAAACCTAGCCTGAAAATAAATTCTGAACGCATTATATGATCCATTTTTTCATTTTAACAAAATATATTAATATTCTCAGTACTAAGCACACCATGAACCAATAAATTATTATAAAAATATGAATTGTATTTACCGTACAACTGGCTGTGAGGTATATCAAAATCTTAAACCAAAATGTGCTATCACCCATCACAGTGATTTCAATTAGTAATTTGCAAATTATATTTGGAAGCATTGTAGTTCCTGCAGCGAGCAGATAATTGTTATTTAGGTAAAATGTGTGAGAATATAGTGACATATCACATCGTGTATATAACAGGGTGTTATGGCAATCCAATGTTATAGTCATAATGTGTCGAGCGATATTTATCGTATGACGTGGTATACACTAATCAGGGGTGTGCCAACTAGATTCCCCGTGGCTTAGATGATTGAATATTGCAACGGTATATTAATTGCACGCTTATTTCTGCTGGCCTACTGTGGCTGATTTTTTTCTCTGCAAAACGCGGTTCGGAAATAAACTTATTCTCACCACGATATTGAAATCGACCCAGTATTGACCTCATATTCCTTATAGGCACTGGTATCGTACTGTTCAATGAGGCATACGGTCTGAGCCATTTACTAATACCGTTATTAGCTGATATTAAAGGAAATATGACCCAGGAGTGTCAACAACAAAAAAACAGGCATTTATACCGAATGCCTAAGGCAATAATAAACGAAACATTAACCAAACAAAACAAATGATGGCAGAATAGTAGAATCATACAAATGGACTCAGCGCTACTTTCTATGTCGCTACAAGCTATATCGTGCTACTAGTATATAGGGTGTGACGATGACAGCATGTTAATGTTTCTGTTAGAGCCATATTTTCTGTTGATATTGGTTGTACGCGATGACTTCTGCGTTGAAGTGTTGGCACCACCCTGTACACGATATGGTAGTCCAGCCTCATTTGCATATGTATAACGAGAATACCACCCGCTGTTCAGATTACCACCACTTGTCGTGTCTACCAGCGCTGGGAAGCGTTAGAGTGGATACCATCGAGTACAGTAAACGGATGGGCTAGTCGTCGTGCTTGAAACATGCTCATTTTCATTCAGATGCCGGTTTTTCTGGTTTAGGTTTTTTCAGACGTCTGCTACCGGAAGTGGCAGCGTTTCAAAAACACGAGAGGACAGCGGTTATTCAACTTATACCACCAGTGAGTACGAGTGTCATCGACTGTCATTGAAATCACAGACGTCAATATGGCCGTCGTAATAGATTTCCTATCCTCCTGCAATCGACTGTCATCGGCAATATTCCGCACCAAGGGCAGTTTGGAGCGATTACGACCAGATTCTGGAACGGCATCTCCGTATCCCGGCAGCCTAACCATGCTCGAAGTGACGAAAATTAGTATTGGCAATGTTCTCGCCGTCGGAGTGTTCGTCATCGCCGGACAGATTGCGACAAGTATAGCCGGTCCGTCGGCGACGGTGTCTGCTGTGATCGCCGCATTTGCAAGCACACTAACAGGTGAGACATTATAATCGCACGGTAAATGCACCACGATGTTATTAAAGTTGTATGTTTGGATTCCCATAATCGTACCATCTTTCTTTTCGAACACCTGTTGCGTTTATAATCCATGCGTATTGATGTTGCGCCAGTCTCGCGCTTCAGGTTTGCAATGCCGAACTCTGGTGTATACTTGTATTGTTTTTGTTTACCTGTATCTTGTCGTATCCCTCATATAATGTACGATGTAAAGGGCAATAACCAGCGCGGGTTTGTTATTGGTACAGGGTGGTAAGTGATCCGGTAATGTTCACTTCCGCATTACATTCATCGCCGCGTTTGGGATATATTATAATGATGATGTGCTAAGTTCGACTAGAGATGAATGTGCAAAATTAAACATAATTTACTTTAGTTTGAATGAATCATTCATTTTTTATCTAATAAGTACCATGGCAACACCAAATCCAAATCGTGAAAATATGTATATTATTTAATATGGCGCCTAGTTGTTATAAGTATATTATTTTACAATAAGAACGGGGAGGTTTACTGCTGCATGGTAGCAGACGTTGTCAGTAAAAACTACCAGGCATCATACTTCATAATTATTTATTAAAATAACACCCAGCCGTTACACTTGCGAGCAAAATGTATGCAATATGGAATTTTCCAATTAATGCTGATCTATTTATGCGCCGTTTATTATTTAGCACGGTGTTTACAAAACGGCAATGGTCGGTCATCTGTCCAGCGTATTCGGTGTTTAATCCATGCGACGCTGTTTGCCGTGATGTTGTGCGATTGCGCTATTATTAAAATATCACTGTGCTGTGTGCTGTATATGAGTTCCCATTTACCTGCGGTTGCTAGACAACCGTGCACGCAATATTAAGGTTGATTTGTTACGCGACTAAGAGGAATATACCTGTTCTATACAGTTTGTGACAACACGAATGTGTCGTTTATGTTGATTATAGTTACTATAACTAGTATTTCAGCTTTAATTTTGATCCGAATGTTATTGTAAACATTAAAAGGTGAACGCCTCCTCTTATCTCTGCATGTGTACTTTATAGTTTTATAGAAGTGACCTGGCCCTTCGATGAATCAAACGGAATCGCGTCAGCAGGACTGGTGCGCAGTGATGTAATATCGAGAGAACTCAGAATTCTCTCTTTGTGTCATGTCAAGCATATGTTACGCCTTTGTGTCGTGTTTATGCTTGACGAATTGACAGCTGGCTACTCAGTGGCGTTTAACATATCGCAACTGGTTCCGTGGGGCCCTGGCGAGACATGCGCACTAGACCGAATATGTTAACATAAACTTTGACCTGTGATCTATATCCATTTATTAGCGCTCTCGCCCGGGCACTCGGCTTGGAGAACGAGTATCCATGGCAACCGTTCAACGGGCTCTTTGATCCTGAAACATGACAAAGAGAGCAACGAACCGAAGAACAACATGAAAACAAACAGCATAAAAATAGTTATATGTGTCACTGAGTTCATAAGCGGATTTTCCTGTTTGATTACAAATAAACAACCCAGGTACAATTTGAACTCTGAACCCCTTGCTGTATTGGAGCCATCGTAACATGCTATAAACGACTTGCTACCCAGGATTGCTACGTCTGCCGAGGTTATGTGCAGCCATTAGTGTATCAGCAGCTTAACCAACAAAATAATCACACGACGGTTGTGGCAAAATATCTGCACGCCGTACAACTCGCATATCCGCTTTGATCTACATTAGTACATCAATCGAAGGAGACAGAAATGTCAGCGGGGTAGTCAAGCATACAGTTAATAAATCGTTTAGCGATTATAATACAACACTAATAACAGTAACATGTTTCCCATTTCTTAAACACTTGTATGTGACGGAATGCAATTATTTCCCTCACTGCTACAGGTTAACTAAATAAATAATTGGAAACTTCGTTGATAATGGCATCGCAATGATTAATTTGTGAATACGGGTTAGCGAGAGGCGCCATTATAATTTATCCAGTATATATTCCACCTAAACGGTCGTGCCAGTATGTTGCCATGGCGACGTAAATGAGCACACTCTCCATATGTTGTTTTATACATCGCGCGATCGCTGGGCTCGGGACAACTCGTATTGTCATTCAAATTACCACCATATAAATGGGGGTATATTTCATTGTTTTATTGCATGCCCCACCAAACATTCAACACACAAATAGTGATAGTAATAATATAGCCACGGGTAATATTTTGGTAAATTTGAGAAAATCGTTCTGTCATCTTTACGGTCAGGCGTTGTACATGTCGTCGAAGCACTGAGTAGCTGGATCGTATACGCAAACATACTAAGCACATTAGTTTGGAAATGATCCGGGAAGGAGAGGTAAACATTTCTTTACCCGCTAATCCCTTAGACAAACCTTGGTATGTTTTATACACTACCACATTCGCTTATGTATAAGCTTTCAGAAGATATATAGGTTGTAACAATAGCATGCTTACTAATAACTTTTAGAGAATGTCTGAATCACGGATCAACGTCACCCCGTTCCCCCCTCAGCTTCTACCTTGAGACCCCCCTCCAAA